CATTCATACTCGACTTAACTTCAAATTCACTTTGAAACATACCCTGAGTAAGTTATTTTAGTCACATATTTTGCCCGGCAGACGACTCCCAGGTATAACATTTCGGAGGAGTAAAATACGCGATTATATAATATCTTAAAGCATCCTAATCGACCTTGGGGCTTATCTAGTCATGATGCTTTTTTTTGCCTAACATTCGCTGGTTTCTGAAATTTTTCCTCAAAAGACCCGTGCATCCGGTCAATCCTTATAATTTGTAAAACTATTAATTTCTTGACGAAAAACTGAAACAATTAGGAAAACGCTAATTTAGTTGCGAATTTCTTTCAACTGCTTCTAATAAAGTGAATAGTTGAAAATTCTCATTAAGGATTTGTGCAGAGCGTATAATTTATGTTACCTATATCATTATCTTGTATTGTAGTCTTCATTTTTTCATGTCGATATTTTCACTTGCGTTTCTATTCGAATAGAATTTTGAATTTGAAAAAGACAAGTCTGAATAAGAAATTTAAAAGACTTTGATGACCAGATCCTTGAATATGAAATTGAATATTACATGGCATTTCAGGCGAAATAAAACATTTTTCGTCGATCATGTTTAGGTTTAAAATTTGCTCTAGTTGATTTGCCCTGCTTTTTCAATCCGAAATTCGGTTTCTGCTGATTGCGTTCACTAAGAGGGCACTGACCTACATCGTGGGTAATAACTGAAAACTAGTCCTCCTAAATATTCATTTTGAGTTCATCAAAATTTGAAACCGAAACGAGCAATATTTAAATCGGAAAAAGCATGCTGAAAATTTTAGTATTAATAGAACTAATTTGAGCTCTTTCCACGAACGAAAAAAAAATGTAGAAATGGTGCTTAAAGAACGGCGTGAATAGACGTCTGTCAGCGACACAGAGGTTTAATTCATTTTGTAAACACAAAACTAGCATTTCTGAGACGTCAAAAACTGAAGTGAGTGAAAGTATTGTTAAACAAGAAAATACGTTTTTTATTACAACTGGTAACTAATATAGCCTGGAGTAAGCTTCATCTTGAAAGCAAAGCTCTGTTATTTAAATCTGAACGTGGCTCGCAACTGCGTGATCACGTGTAAAACTTGAAAACAAATGAACCTCGCTTTTTTCAAAGTATGGTCCTTTTACCTAATCGTACACCATTTTTGTACGATGCAGCGGCATATCGGGCGAGTTTGGTCTCGCCATGGTTCGTATTGTGGTGAGAAGTAGTCAGTATGTACTTGGATACGTAGCCAGGTGGTAATACTCCTGTATTGTGGATTTCTCGTTTTCTTTTATTTTTTGTTGCTCATTTTACTTGTCAATCAATATTAGATATTTTCTTCCCCTTTGTTTCTACTTTTTGACATCTTCGGCTTGGCCCATTTTAGGTTTTTTTCAATATATTTCAAGAGAAAAAGAGTTTTCCAGTTCTCCAGCAACCTACCTGAAGAAGTTGGAAACGAGGCCTGAATTCGAAGGAAAAACGGACGTCAACCCGTCAAACCGCGTCAACCCGCAGGTATACTATAAAGTTTACTCTCCTTAGAGGCTCAACCCTGTGAACTTTTATATCCGCCCATGGAACCTTTGAAGATTTATGAGATGGGAAAAAAGTAACCGGACAGGAGAGTATCTTCTATGCTATTGGTACAGCAGAAAAACTTTTGAGTTGTAATTTCAGCTGGATTTCCTGGTTCGTTTTTGCTATCTTTTCTAATGCTTGGATTTAGTGGCCTGCCTTGCAGTTCAAAGTCTATTTTTGCCACCCTATGAAATAATGAAATTTTAAAAGTTCTTCTCTTTCCTATATTACGAAGGTGAAAAACCCTACCCATTCGGGCGGAGCGTCCCGGTGTTGCAGCCCTAACAACGTGCACCTCCCTCCGCCACGTGCTCCTTTCCAGCGAGGTACCTTTACACACAAGTCTCCTTATA